ATGGGGCCAGTCTCTCTTTCATAGGGTTGGTTGGGAAGATAACATGGTGGAGAGGGAGTCTGTTGCCTTGAACATCTTGAAGAAAATGGGGTCATGTGTGGAAATACAGGGTGGCTGGGTGGTGCGTCATTCCCTGGCCTGCTCCGAGGTGTCTCCCGTTTTCCCCGGGGATGAGCTCCCAGGCAAGCGTGTATGACTCTCTTGTCTCCATCCCAGACAAGCCTTTATGGGCTGAATATTGGCTTTGGGGGGGGGCATTTTCACACCCAAAAATGCACCCAAGGCAAGAGAGAGCATCAAGAAATGGCAGACATTTTGGGCCTATGTTGTCTAATTTGAAATTTTTGTTGAGCTCTCGCCATTTGGAGTTGTTGCTTTTCTTTTTGTGCGTATGGCTCTTTTAATTATTAGGATTTTTTGTTGGGGGTGGGGATACTCTTCATCCAAATGTGAACTATCCGGAGTAGCAGACTCTCTCATGAGAGGGGCAGTGTGGAGACTTCATGATAAACAAATAAATTAAACACCTAAATCAGTGACATCGCCGCCCCAGGGGGCAATTTTATTTTTCAGGGGGGGCGAAAAGGGGCGATATGGGGGCAAAGGAACAGAAGGGGGGGCGATAAGGTGCAATGGAGCAAGCCAAACCTGAGAAGGTGGCTGCAGCCACAGTGCCGGAAGCGGATCCATCAGGTGGATCCAGAGCAGCTGATCTGGTGCCACCGCGGGGAGCGGGGCAATGATAACTTCCTCAATGGCTCAAGGGTGAGTTTCTTTCAAAAAGGTTAAGAACCACTGATCTAAATAATACAAAGGAAATGCATCAGAGCAAAGATGAAGAAGCAAAGAGAAATGATATGGGATCCTCAACTATCCAGCTCTACCGCCCTTTACCATGTCGAGGTTCTCTTCTTTTCCAGTAGCAAACCTACTGTGCTGCTCTGTAGGCCTGGATCTGTCTTCCTTCCTTCTGTCTATCCATCATCAGTCCCTTCCTTCCTTCCATCATCCGTTCCTCCCTCCGTTCCATCCTTCCTTCCTTCCTTCCTTCTACCCATCATCAGTTCCTTCCTTCTCCCTTCCCTTCCGTCCATCCATCCATTCTGTTCTTCCTTTCTTCCTTCCTGCTATCCATTATCAGTCCTTCCTTCCTTCCTCCCTCCCTCTCTCCTTTTTAGTGTGATTATCTTAGGTCATGGGTTTCCCATGATATTTGGTTTCTGCTCTGCAGTTGCAGAATATAGAACAAGGTCTCTCTGTCTGTAAACGTTGGCCTGTTTCCCCTCTTTGCAAGCCGCATAGTCAGCGTTCACTGTTATGGACCAGGAGGCGCGATAACCTGATGAGAGATTTTCTTTGTTCCCTTCCAGACAGGGACAGAGTTCATTTGCCTCGTCCTTTTTTCACTCCGTCGGCACCCAGCCGTTTCCCACCCCACCCGGCTGCTTTAGCATCCCACATCTCGTCTGTGAAAGGGACAAAATGGTTGGATTCAAGCCCACCGACGTTCCCCCCACGGCCACGATTAAGTTTGTGGGAGCTGGAACAGCCGCCTGCATTGCAGACCTGATCACCTTCCCCCTGGATACAGCGAAGGTCCGGTTGCAGGTGAGTGAGACCCACAACGGCTTATCCAATCCTTCCCTTTGCAGGTGTGCCTTGGTATTCATGACTCAACTTGCCATCGTCCCCTGGTGGGTAGTGTAGACGTCTTCCTTCGTTCGCATTAGACAAAGCCCTGGCCACCCACGTCTGTTAAGGCCCCTACCAAGGAAATTGCAGCAGAGCGAACCTTACCTGTGTTCAGCTGGCATCCAGTTTAATGCACAACATTCTGTCAGCAGCCAGGTCCCCCCAAACCAGCCATTGTTCGCTCACCCCAATAAGCATTGTGCAAAAAACCCATCGTCCTGCTGTGTTCTGGTCTGCAAGGGACGGTCTTCTTGCTTTGCACAAGAAGCCCCCAGTCGGAAAAATGTAATAGGGCCAGAAGGTTCTCTCTGTGGAGCTTTGGATTATGGCTCGGCGGAAGCACACCTGATGGGGTGAAAATCTGCCTGCTTCCAAGAAATGTTAAGATATTTTTTGGTAGTTGGTGCTGGGAGTTCTACTCTTTAAAAAAAAGCAGGAACTTTCCCTAAGATCCACTCTGGGCATCAGGGCTGAACTTGGCAGGACCGATTTGAACACCCTCCCTTAAACTAGGTTCAGCACCCTGGAAAGCTCCCTTAAAGTTCAGACAAAAACCCAGAGTGGATTCACTGGTCCTGCAAAATGGGAGTTCCCACCCATGGGCCTCTAGGATTTTGCACCTCTTCAAAACACAAGGTAATCGGAGTCCATTCGCTTCCACCGCCTGGATGGAACTTGGCTCATCCTCTTAAGGCAGGCCTCTGTCCGATGGGTCACTTGAGTCCCGATTCATCCCCAACCTTCGTCATTTCCCCTCCTCCAACCCAATTCTCTCCTGCGCAGATCCAAGGAGAGAACCGGCGCGCGGCGGTTACGGCCAGAGCAGCTGAGTACAAGGGAGTCTTTGGCACCATGGCCACGATGGTGAGGAACGAGGGGCTCAAAAGCCTCTACAGCGGCCTGGTAGCTGGGCTCCAGCGTCAGATGAGTTTTGCCTCGGTCCGCATCGGGCTGTACGATTCGGTGAAGCAGTTCTACACCAAAGGCTCGGAGCGTACGTTGGCCTTCGGCTCTGGGGACAGTTGTCAAGGGTGGGCCCTGGGGCTGAGGGTAGCGTAGTAGCCAAGTTAAGCTTTTGTAAAGACAAAAAACTTCTTTTAACCTGACCAAATGGACTGTGGTTGGGAGATGTTTATGCTGCAAGAGAGAACCTTAGTTTTTTGGGGGATTATATTAACATTTCCTGCCCTGGTGTTGTGATGGTTTTATTCGGATGGAATAACAAAGCATCCACTTTGGGCTAGTCGTTAATGGTGGTTTTCGTTTAAAATCAAAAGAAGCATAGTTAGAGACTTGCATCCTATATTGAAAAGTGAGGTTGGGTAAGGATGATGTTCCTTAAACATCAAGGCATGGGCTCAACCTCACCTCATTGGAAGGGAGTAGCTGGTCACCTGTGGTGAGTAAGATTTAATCTCCAGGGGACCAGATGGAGAAATTTTTTAAACTGGAGGTTTAGGATTATTGATAAGTCACAGGCGAATATGTGTTGGAGGGTTAGAAACATGCGGGGAGAGGCACAACTTGTAAGACTCATTGAAAGGAATCAAGCCGTGTTCCTCAACAAAGCCATGCTATGTCTGTGAGAGATTTAGGAGTGCAGGTGCGTCTTTCCAACCCGGCGGCTGTTCCTTCTTGACTTTGGCAGATGCTGGCATCGGCAGCCGGCTCCTTGCTGGATGCACCACGGGCGCCATGGCGGTGGCGGTGGCCCAGCCCACAGATGTGGTCAAAGTGAGATTCCAGGCTCAAGCGCGGATGGAAGGTGGTGGCCGACGGTACCAGGGGACGCTGGACGCTTATAAGACCATTGCGAGGGAAGAGGGCTTCAGAGGCCTCTGGAAAGGTTGGTGAATTCATCCCTAAAAAGACACACAACGCTGCTTTGGGGCCCAGAGGGAAAAGGGCTTTCCATGACCGGGTTCAACGTTGCTGCCTGGCATTTTAGATGGGCCTTGGACTTCACCCTATTTCAGATGGCTGCCTGAAAACCAAGCGGTGCTTGGTGTGCCAGAAGCATACCTACAGCTTGGGGACTGTTCATTTTTTGGACTACAGTTCCCAGAACCCCCAGTCAGCATAGCCAGCAGGGGGAGCTGTCATCCAAAAATATAACCTTTTTGGCTTATTCTATGCGCTCCGCTAAATCCCCCACTCCCCCCCCCCGTAAACCACTGGAAGATCTGGTTTGCTTGGATTTGGACTCTAAAGTTTGGGTGGCGCAGAAGAAGCGGAGGATGGGAATGAAATTCAGAAGCCATATTCCCCCCCCCATCCTTCCTCGTTTCAGTCAAATCACGGTCCCTCTGCAGTCCGTGAGCACCATTAATGTTTCTATGGCCGTGCATGGCCGTTTCCACTTTCTCAAAGTTTCTCCACCTTGTTTTAGGGACTTCCCCGAATATAACTCGGAATGCGCTTGTGAACTGCACAGAGCTGGTGACCTACGACCTGATCAAGGACACGCTTCTGACGTACAACCTCATGACAGGTGAGGGGAAGAAGGATGCTCTGGTGGTGCGCGGGGACCTTGGTGGTTCACGCAGGCTCTCCTCCACCAAAGTGACCTCGTGGTTGGGCTCCTCGAACTCCTGGCCCCAGCTTGGCCACCGAGGGCTCCAGCCCACTGAGCTGGTGCCGGCACTGACCCAAGCTGTGGCCCCGTTCGTGGCTTTCAGCTTGTTTGCAAAAGAAAAGAGGAAAAAAAGGGAAGTGGGGAGCAGAAATGGTAGCCGTCGATAGACAAACCAGTTCATTTCAGAATGAGCTTTTGTGGGTCAATATCTGAAGAACTGGGTTTGGATTAAAACAAGGGTCCCCAACCTTTTTCACCCCACATGCTGGCTGGGGAAGGCAGGGCACCCCTGCGCTTGTGCGCATGTACGAATGAGCGCACGTGCACGCGCGCAAATGGCAGCGTGGCACTTGTGCGTGCACATGCATGCATGTGCATGTGCAAATGGTGGCGTGGGGCACTAATGCGCGTGCACAAACAGTGGTGCACAGGCATGCTGGAGCACACGCACATGTGCAAATCAGCTGTGCAGGGTGAATGCATGCATGGGGGGGGCAGGAGGTCTGTCTCCACCGCCTGGTTTAGCTCAGGCCATGGACGGGGGGTGGGGACCTCTGGATTAAAACAACCACTACCTACCCACACCGAAATGAATCTGTGAGTTTTTCCAGTGCTTCCATATTTTGCCTTTACTTGTGGAAATATGAGCTGACCGGACTTTCCCTGGCTCCTTTTTTTTCCCCCGTCTGGCAGATAACCTCCCGTGCCACTTTACCTCAGCCTTTGGCGCCGGGTTCTGCACCACCATCATCGCCTCCCCTGTCGACGTCGTGAAGACCAGGTACATGAACTCTGCCCCTGGTCAATACGGAAGTGCCGTGAAGTGCGCCCTCACCATGCTCGGAAAGGAGGGACCCCTGGCTTTTTACAAAGGGTAAGCCGTCTCTATGGCCTCTCCTGCGGGGTGATTGTTTTGCTCCTGCTCCCATGTGCCATCGAGTCGCCTCCAACCTATGGCGACCCCATGAATGAGCCGTCTCTCAAAGGTCGCGCGGGGACCTTGGTGGTTCACGCAGGCTCTCCTCCACCAAAGTGACCTCGTGGCTGGGCTCCTCGAACTCCTGGCCCCAGCTTGGCCGCCGAGGGCTCCAGCCCACTGAGCTGGTGCCGGCACTGACCCAAGCTGTGGCCCCGTTCGTGGCTTTCAGCTTGCTTGCAAAAGGAAAGAGGAAAAAGAAAAGAGAAGTTGGGGGGGGGGAAGGAGCAGAAATGGTAGCCCTCAATAGACAAACCAGTTCATTTCAGAATGAGCTTTTGTGGGTCAACATCTGAAGAACTGGGTTTGGATTAAAACAAGGGTCCCCAACCTTTTTCACCCCACATGCTAGCTGGGGAAGGCAGGGTACCCCTGTGCTTGTGCACATGCACAAATGAGTGCACGCGCGCAAACGGCAGCGTGGCACTTGTGCGTGCACATGCACCCATGCGCATGTGCAAACGGCTGTGCGGTGCTCACGTGGGGCATTCATGCGTGTGTACAAACAGTGGTGCTTGCACGGGCACGCTGGAGCACACGCACATGTTCAAATCAGCTGTGGTGAATGCATGCATGGGGGGGCCCAGGAGGTCTGTCTCCACCGCCTGGTTCAGCTCAGGCCACGGACTGGGGGTTGGGGACCTCTGGATTAAAACAACCACTACCTACCTCACACCGAAATGAATCTGTGAGTTTTTCCAATGCTTCCATATTTTGCCTTTACTTGTGGAAATATTAGCTGACCGGACTTTCCCTGGCTCCTTTTTTTCCCCCCGTCTGGCAGATAACCTCCCGTGCCACTTTAGCTCAGCCTTTGGCGCCGGGTTCTGCACCACCATCATCGCCTCCCCTGTCGACGTCGTGAAGACCAGGTACATGAACTCTGCCCCTGGTCAATACGGAAGTGCCGTGAAGTGCGCCCTCACCATGCTCGGAAAGGAGGGACCCCTGGCTTTTTACAAAGGGTAAGCCGTCTCTATGGCCTCTCCTGCGGGATGATTGTTTTGTTGCTGCTCCCGTGTGCCATCGAGTCGCCTCCAACCTATGGCGACCCCATGAATGAGCCGTCTCTCAAAGGTCCAGTCCTCAACATGCCCTGCTCAGCTCTGTGGCTTCCTTGAGGGAATGAATCCATCTCATGTTCGGTTCTTCCTCATTTCCTGCGGCTTTCCACCTTTGCCAGCCTGATTGTCATTCCCAGAGAATCCTGCCTTCTCAGGAGGTGCCCGAAGGAGGACAGCATTGGTTTCACCGTTTTTTCCCCCTCAAGTCTTGATTTGCTCTAAGGCCCACGAGTTTATCTTTCTGGCTATCCGGGGTATCGTTTACAAAGTTCTCCTCTGGCACATTTCAAATGAACCTTTTTTGTGTGTGTGTCAGCTTTCACACCTTCAGTTCTCCTTCTTTTGGAATGCTTTTAATTCGTTGAGTACCAGATCTGCAGATATTATTATTTTGGCCTCTGGGAATGACAGTCCAAGAAAACCCGAGTGACCAGAGGTTCCTGCTGGAGGCGGGTGCTTTGTGCTCAGGACCAAGTGGAAGACTCTCCATGGGCAGACGGGTTGGCCGTTGGGGAACAGAATATGGAACCGGGCAGCGTGGCACTTGTGCGTGCACATGCACCCATGCGCATGTGCAAACGGCTGTGCGGTGCTCACGTGGGGCATTCATGCGTGTGTACAAACAGTGGTGCTTGCACGGGCACGCTGGAGCACACGCACATGTTCAAATCAGCTGTGGTGAATGCATGCATGGGGGGGCCCAGGAGGTCTGTCTCCACCGCCTGGTTCAGCTCAGGCCACGGACTGGGGGTTGGGGACCTCTGGATTAAAACAACCACTACCTACCTCACACCGAAATGAATCTGTGAGTTTTTCCAGTGCTTCCCGGGGAATTAGAATCCAGTACCATCTGGAGGCCGGAACTTTTCCCACTTGGCTAGAACTGGTCCCATTGAGTTGTCCCCTCACGGCGCCAGCCCCATGCAGTGTTCGTGGCTGTTGGGGGACCTCGCCTTGCTAATCCCCTTTGCAGCCAATGGCCATTCCTTGATCTTGTGGCAATGAGTTCCGCAAGTGAATACTGCACCAGGTCCTAATGCTAATTGGCTTCATTGGGTAACCCTACATTTGTGCCTTAGGAAGAGAGGGGAAAGGCTTAGGTGTTTCTACGTGACTGCCATAATTTTGGAGTTTTTTTTTTCCAGACAACAGTTCCCAGAAACATCAGCCATCACAGCCAGGGCCTGTGCAGGCTGGGGATTCTGGGGGCTGTAGTCCAAAACAAGCATGTGTGCCAACTTTTCAGGCCCTCTTACTGCTCCTTCCCCAGTGGAACAGCTTTCCTTCCCCTTGTTTCCAAGGTCCTAAGAGTAACACCTTTTCCTTGTTCGCTCCCTCTCCTAGCTTTACGCCTTCGTTTCTACGGCTGGGATCCTGGAACGTGGTGATGTTTGTGACCTACGAGCAACTGAAGCGGGCCCTGATGGCAGCCCGCGGATCCTTCGAGGCTCCCTTCTGAGCCGACGGATGGGTGCATTTTACAGATCTTGCCCTCTTGGTGCACAGATCCTTGATCTGGATTCATTCCCCTACTCTCGAGGCATCCTACCTCTCTGTGGAGCATAACCCATAAAGCTTCCTTTCCCCTTCACATCCCTGTGGCTTCTAGTATGGGAGGAGCAGGAACTTCCCGCTGTTTGTTTTACTTGTATGGAACCGGATGGTCTTCTCCTCTGGGCTGGCGTAGCGCCCTTTGTTTTCTGAATGGATGTGCCACGTTCCCTCTCTTTTTGCGGGCTGTCTCTCAAGAGGGCTGGAAATCCCACCCTCCTGATGGTGCAGGACTTTGGCTCCTGTCAAGCCCCTGGCCTTCACACTCAGTGAGGAGGATTCCGGGGAATTAGAATCCAGTACCATCTGGAGGCCAGAACTTTTCCCACTTGGCTAGAACTGGTCCCATTGAGTTGTCCCCTCACGGCGCCAGCCCCATGCAGTGTTCGTGGCTGTTGGGGGACCTCGCCTTGCTAATCCCCTTTGCAGCCAATGGCCATTCCTTGATCTTGTGGCAATGAGTTCCGCAAGTGAATACTGCACCAGGTCCTAATGCTAATTGGCTTCATTGGGTAACCCTACATTTGTGCCTTAGGAAGAGAGGGGAAAGGCTTAGGTGTTTCTACGTGACTGCCATAATTTTGGAGTTTTTTTTTTCCAGACAACAGTTCCCAGAAACATCAGCCATCACAGCCAGGGCCTGTGCAGGCTGGGGATTCTGGGGGCTGTAGTCCAAAACAAGCATGTGTGCCAACTTTTCAGGCCCTCTTACTGCTCCTTCCCCAGTGGAACAGCTTTCCTTCCCCTTGTTTCCAAGGTCCTAAGAGTAACACCTTTTCCTTGTTCGCTCCCTCTCCTAGCTTTACGCCTTCGTTTCTACGGCTGGGATCCTGGAACGTGGTGATGTTTGTGACCTACGAGCAACTGAAGCGGGCCCTGATGGCAGCCCGCGGATCCTTCGAGGCCCCCTTCTGAGCTGACGGATGGGTGCATTTTACAGATCTTGCCCTCTTGGTGCACAGATCCTTGATCTGGATTCATTCCCCTACTCTCGAGGCATCCTACCTCTCTGTCGAGCATAACCCGTCGCCTTTTAAAGCTTCCTTTCCCCTTCACATCCCTGTGGCTTCTAGTATGGGAAGAGCAGGAACTTCCCGCTGTTTGTTTTACTTGCTTGTTTTGAACATGCTGTCGTCCCGTCGCTTTACGCACGTCCTCCTTTTATCTCCTGTCCAGCTTGACTATAAACATCTGGGTCTGTTATCCCTTGCAGCCCATAGAAAACTGTTATATTAATTGCAGCGCTTAAGTGGCCCATCTCCCAGAGGTTCCCCCTTCCCCAGGAAAAACACATGGTGAAAATTATTTGTTAGCCTAGTCATTCATGTGAAAGAGACTGGATTCATCCAGACCAGTTTGGTTCTATTCTGGATCCTGAAAGAGGCTTCCAAGCACAGCATCTGGTAGCAGAAAACGGATCTTTCTCATGGCTCTTCCCCATGGAAGTATTTTAAAAAAAAATGTTTTTGAATATTTTTTTAAATGGGAGCAAAGGATTACTTCCGGTCTTAGAACCCCCTGGTTTGAAAACTAAACCCAGCTGCCCTTTCCCCTCCTCTTTCATAGGATATAGGGAGCAGGTGGGATTCTGCGCACCTCTGCTGCTATTCTGAACTTGCTGGTCCCTTTAGATTCAAGCCAAACTGTAGATCAATCCAGACGTATTGTGAAACTTGAAAAAGGTGAAATCCTGGGAGAATAGGCCAGTATAGGCCTGCATCTCAAATTATGAATTTCAACCTCCGAGATGAATACAGAAAGAGTCATGAGAATGTAGTTTTTATATTAAAAGAGAAGCTGCCAAACTCATCGCTTGATCATGGAAGGTCACCTTGAGCTAGAAAGCGATAAGGCTGGGACTTAATTCAGGACCTAAAGAAGGTCTTAGGTGTACTGGTAAGATATATATCTTTTAACTGTACATCCTAAGCTAAATGCACTTAGAGGCTTTTTGTGTGCTGCCTGTTTCTATGTTGATGTTTTAGATGGTTCAAAGTGGTGGCCATGGAATGCCGTTTTTTAAAAGAATTCTGTCTTGTGCACAACTTGTTTTTCTTTTTTTTAAAATAAAGCCGAAGCCAAAAAAGACCTTGTTTTGGTATCTCCCTTGTTCCCTGCTCTTCATCTCTTTCTGTGTTACGGGCAGTGTTGCCTGAACCGAAAAAGAATGCATGGCTCTGATGAATCCGAATATTTCTATGGTCTCCTTGGGAAGAATCAGGCTTCTGTTTGGGGAGTGGGCGGTGGAGGAAGGGACCCTCTGTTGCGGCTCTGTTTGCTATACGTGAGAAGGATCTGTGCAAACTGGATTGTCTCCAGAGGAAGGCAAGGTAAAAGGAAGGTGTGAGAGAACCGGGTATGTTTAGCTCGGACAAGAAGACTGTGAAAGGTGATATTTATATCCATCTTTGGACAGCAGAGGTTCTATCGTGGGATTCCAACACTCCAATTCTGTAAGTCATAGGACAGCTGTGGGCTTGTCAATAAACCCCCTGGGGTGACTGCAAACAGTTGCCTGTCATTTAACAAGCAAACGGTTCAGAGAGAAATGGCCAGGGAGAGCTGGGCCTGGACGTGGCCTTCTGGGGGGCACCCCCTGATTATCTGCCTGTATCTCCATGGATCGGGCTGCGTCCTTGGCGAGGGGAGAGGTAGTTTATTCCCACGCAGTCCGCAGCCAAGGAGGAGGCAGGACCAAGATAAAATAGGAACTTATATTTGCTTTGAGAAGGATGAAGAGAAGCCAAGTTGGAGCCGGCTTTTCTGCCCGGGTGCTGTTCCTCACCTCAAGAGAGCTTCGTGGAGGAGTTCCTTCTTGGCCGGGGTGAGCCTCCCTGGGAAGATGATGTCGAAGTACATGATGAGGTCCCCTTTGCAGGAGGGGTTTTTCGAGATGGGCATCCCTTCTCCGGGCACGACTTTGAAATACTTGGGGCTGTAAAGGCAGGAGAGAGAGAGGCATACACACACACACACACACCTGCTTAGGTGGAAAGATTGTGAAAAGCAGGCGGGTGGCTTTTAAGTGAAGACAACTTAGTCTTCCAGCTGGGCCCTGTCCAGTCATGCTGGACCACAAGCCCCATTATCCACTGTCATTCCACAGCTGTGGACAATGGGAGTTATAGTCCAACATGGATGGAAGGCGCCAAGCTGGGAGAAGGCCGTTCTGCTGAAAGAAACGTCTCGGTCCCAATTTTGTGACAGGCATGTCCTTTTCCACAGTCCCACCCGTGGCAAACCAGCTTGTTCCTTTTTTCTTTTTGTATGTGTGGAAGAAAAACGCCATTGGCGGTGGCTGTTTTACCCATACCCTGACCTGGGAGTAGGTCGTGCTGAACTGGGTGGGACTTGCCTTCCAAATATACCTGTGTGGGCTTGCCTCTCAAGTGGTGGTGCCCGTTTACCTGGGAGGAAGCCTCCCTGAACTCAACGGTGCTTCTCATCAAGGATTGCTCCGGCTGCTTTCCGACCTTGTCCGCTAGCCAACTCGCTAACCAGTGGCACAACCACTGGAGCCAAAATGGAAATCCCGGAATATCTGGCTAAGCTGGCTCTCTGCTGTGTGGCCTCCCAAGGATGCAAGACTCGGGTCCCGCGCACCTGGCCCCCTTTTTCTGAGTCAGGTTTTCGAGTCCCTGTTCTTTTGACGAACGGCACTATAAATCTGAAAGACGCTTTGCCAGGCTCGCCAGAAGCCGCAGGAGGGCACATGGCGGAGGAGGAGGTGGCAAAGCGGAGGGGTGAGGCGAGAGGCTGTTGGGAAGGGGGGGTGAGGGACGGCAAGGCAGGGCAGGGCAGATGGGGCCAAAAGTGGGGTGCTCATAAGCCTCAAACCTCTCTGTACACCACCCACCTGCCCCCTCTTTTGGGGGGGAAATGCTTGTTTTTAAAAGGGACTCAGGGCTCAGGACTTGGAGCCAAAGACTGGCCAATGTTCCTAGTGGGCTCTACGGCCGGGAACACAACTCAGCTCTCTCGCCTTGTGTGCGCGCAACTGCAGGGCCACCTTCTCAATATTTCAATCTGCCCTGTTCCTATTTTCAGGCACAAACTGAGCCAGGGATACACACACAGACACCCCATTTGAAGAAGCTCCACCTGAGTAAATGAGAACTTGCTCCTGAGTGGGGCTGAGGAAAAGGTCACAGTAGTGTGGGGGTGGGGGTTTTCCAGCCGTCTCCAGTGGTCCGTCGACATCCCTCCCCTTCACCCAGCTGTCCGCAACAACACTTACTGGACAATGTCATTGATGGGGATGTTGAGCAGCCGTTCGTCCAGCGTCCGCACATCCACCGTGCACCCAATCAGAGCCTGGGGGAGAGAGCGCCAGGGGCTGAAACCACCTCGCGGTTCCGGATGTCCCAAGTCCCTCGGCTTCTCCATTCTGGGGTACCCTCCCTTTCCGAACGGAGTGGTCCACCATGCCCCGTGCCCTCTGCAGTGGTGAGCCAAAGAATTGAGCCGGCTCTTGGTGGGCATTGCCACAGGTGTCGCTCCGCTGGGAGAGGCAGTGCGATGTCGTGGAGAGCGTGTCCCATTAGGATGCAGGAGACCTGGGTTCAAATCCCAGCTTGGAAATTCACTGGGGGGGGAGGTCACGAGGGGCAATAGGAAAGGACTCCTTCAAAATGTCATATGCCTTGAAATCACTTAAGGGTCACCAGGAGACAGAAATCACTGGATGGCAGACCATCTACACTCAGCCCTGTGTGCTTCAGGACTGGAAACAGGCAACGGCCGAGCTGGGGTTCAGACAAAGGCACGACAATTCAATTCAAAGTGCTTGCTTTGACATATAAAGCCCTAAACGGCTTAGGACCTGGTTACCTAAAGGACCGCCTTCTTCCATATGTGCCTGCCCGTCCTCTAAGATCAGGCCAGGAGGCCCTTCTGAAGGTGCTATCCCTGAAAGAGGTGAGAGGGTTGGCATGTTGAAATAGGGCCTTCTCGGCTGTTGCCCCACCCCAAAAAACTTTGGAATGCCCTCCCTATAGAGATCCGCCTGGCTCCCACACTTTTGGCTTTTCGGCGCCAGGCAAGGCCCTTTCTGTTTAGCCGGCACTTTAATTAAATAGTATTCTTTACCTGGCCATATGAGCAGCAGGATGTATTAATATTAATGTTTTAATGATTGTTTCTAATATACGGCATTATAATATTACCTACTTTTAATGTTTTTAATGTTTTAATATTATTGTATGCTGCTCAGAGACCACCGGTAATGGTGTGGCTAAAAATCTTGTAAATAAATAAAATAAACAAACAGGTAGGTCCCTGGGGGAAGGCACCCTTCTAAGTCCGTGTCTGGCCATCCAGGGGCTGGGCTTCTGGAGGCTTGTCTTATCCGACCTCCGTCCATCCAACCAAGAGGGACCACGTGACGAATGGCTTCGGAGGGAGGCTCAGACTTACTCGCCCGGACCATTTTGTTCTGCTTTTGCACTGGTTGAGGCAAGAAATACATGTTATATGTCGATGTTCTACTGTTGGGAGGGGACCTCTCCCACTGGCATAAGTTCTATGTCTACGGAAGGAGGAACAGGTAAACTCAAGAGGAGGCGGCCCTGGCCGCAGGCGGGACTCCCATCCCCAGTCTTGTAATAACATGTTGACCTTGTAACACAAAACAAAAAGGGAGCCGATGCAAATTGGACAGGATGGAGGAAAAGGAGAGCCATCGGTACACTGAAAAAAGGTTCGTGGGGTGGGGGATTTACCCTCCCCTCCCACAGAGGCTGGTTTGAGATGCCACAATTCTATCCTGAACTTAAACAGGTGGGAGACACACACACCCCAGGGATCGCTAGGGAGGGCTTGGGAGGAACGCTGCCTGACACACACACACATACACACGTCGCCACTGGCAGCACCAGGTGGTGGATCAAGCATCTGACTTGGCCATACAAGGCTGCCACCCAGATTCCTCCCTTACCTTGCCCAGGGGAAGCTTGGCCACATAGATTAGGTTGTCGTCCTCTCGTTTAAAGCGGGGGTGGAGTTTCTCCTTCACGATGAAGATGATGTCTGCGGGAATGATATTGGGGCCCTGAGAGAAAGGACAAGGAGGGGTCGAGATTAACAAATGTTATTGGAATGCTGTTTTTATCTTCATATTTTATCAGCCGTCCAGAGTCGATTTCCAAATCTAGATGGTAAAAATGGAACGAATGAATGAATGAACCAACCAACCAACCAACCAACCAAGCAACCCAAACCCAACCCAACCCAAACCCAACCAACCCAACCCACTCACCAGGAAGTCAGAGAGGAGTTAAGCCCTGGAGTTGGGGAAGAGCAGAAAAAGGCCTCCCCACCACCAAGCCCACCTCCACCATCTCATTCATGGGAAGCCTATCCAGGTTCAGATTTCAAAGCCAAAAAAAATGCTACATGCGCTGACTTCCTATCAGGACTTATGCTTGAAGAAAAGCCCAGCAGTGTATTAAAATTAAAGCTGAAACAAATCCAAAGCGCCACAAGATCTTGTTCCGTTCTTGCTGCTGTTTCACGTGGGCTGAAATAAGTCAGCCTGGCTACTGCACTCACACGATCAGTGCTTCAGTGTACCGCCTCGCTCAAGGGAAAAGATTATGCTACCCATGACGGATCTCTGCCTTCGCCCCAGAACAGAAACTTTGAAGGTAAAAATTCAGCCCCATGGGGGAAAATTTAGCTCAAGGCTGCTGTAGAGTGCCTTCGTGGGAGTGAGGTCTGGCTGGTTATGAGTGATTTATCTCTGTAGTTTCCCTAAGGTTTCCTCCAGATATGTTGGGCTATACATGTCAACCATCCCAGAGTGCAGGGCATGCAATGACGGGGTTAAGTTACAGGAAGACAGATTTTGGGTGAATCTCAGGAAAAACTTCCTCACGGTTACAGCAGTACGACAGCCTTTTACTATAATAGCCACAGTGGACAAAACTTTCTTTCTGCAAAGTTTTGGATGATTTTTATGTATTTTTTACTTATAATATTTCAGTGGCTCTCACTTTCTATCATCTAATTTTTTTGTCATCCAACCATTATTCTTAACAGTTATTTTTGTTAAAATTGTCCGCTCTGCCATGGCACAGAGTTGCCATGGCGGGAACACTTTACCCTCCCTCTCGGAGAGTGGTGTTGTACTTGGTGACACTGCTTTTGGAGGGAAGGGGGGACCGAGCCTTTAAGAAGGTTCGGTCCCTCTGGATCAGCCTCTTTGCTGCCTGTTCAAACAGGATCCAAAAAATTAAAAAAAATGTTCATACAAAAATTACATTTTTAAAAATAAAATGGGTCAGCCTTACTTAAGACTGAGCCTTCTGTTCCTCCGGCCACAATTGGACTATAAGTGTGTACATAGTAACAAAGAATTTCTTATTGTTATGTGCAATCAAGTCGGAACTGACTTATAATAATCCTAACAGGGCTTTCAAGATAAGTGGGGCATTTAAGGAGTGGTTTTACCATTGCCACTGCACAGTGAGTATCCCTAGCAGAGCTGAGGAATTGAACCCAGGTCTTGCAAGCCCTAGCCCATTATTCTGCCCACTACACCAGGCCAGGTAGAATACTTCTAAAACATTTCTGAAGATATTGTTTTGTGTGTTTACTGCTCACACTTTTCCAAACAACACAGGGTGTTTTCTCTCCTCATTTTATCTTCCAAATATGTGAAATAAATTAAGCTGACATGGAATTATCAGTGTGTGACACACTTTATAGCTTCATGAACTTGAACTCAGATCTTCCACATAGCATTGTTTCCATCACACCACATTGCCTTTTGAAAGAATACTAATTATCTATGGACTGAAGGTTTCAATTGGGCACCATAGAGAACGAAATTCTGCAGACTTCCCTCCCACATGAAGCCAGGTTGGTCCTTATAGTTCTTCCTCTGGGTAGTGTACACCTTCCTTTTAAAATTGTCTTTTGATCTCTGAAAGCCCAAGCAGAACTGGAGTTTTTAGCAGGGACCCAGCATTTTTAAAATCATCTGTTTTAAATTTGTTTTAACTAACAATCTTTTTAATATTATTTATGTTTAATCAGATTTAATATTAATATTAATAACTGGAATTTGGTTGACAATTCTGTTATACACATACACACACCCCTCTCTATATATGCACATACCTTGTAAAGCTCCTACACTGTTTGCTCCTGGATATCCTCTTTAATATCTAACTCCCTTATAAAAATCTGTAAAATCAACTGAGAGTTCCTTCTTAACAAAACTGTCTATCTGTCATGTCTGGATAGTTGGGGCGTGAAGGGAGCAACGCTCATGCTCATTTTTTCCACAACAGTGAAGCTAAACATGAAGAAACATAAATATGAGCATCTTTAATGAGTGACAGATATTGCCTTGTCTCTCTCTTTCTCCCTTTCATACCTTCAGTGGACTGGATGCTGTACTGAAGTTTTCAGCACTTGGAGTGCTCTGTGTCTGTTTTTAATTTTACAGATGGATAGCTATGTTAGGTTACTACTGTCTGCATTGGTCTACTGCCATGAAACAAAATAAAGAACCATTTACCTCAGGAGAGATATTTAGAAAAAGACTGTGAATTGTGCTAGTCATAGTTGTGTCCCCGTGCTAATATTTATCTTCTAAAGGTTTCCTTTTTCCATTAAGTCTTGTAGGTTACTCCTTCCTTTGTTCTTGGCTAATTAGTCTGGCCAGAGGCCAGTGAGTACAATCCAGTGTTGCAGCAAAGATTTGTCCCATGAGAATTTCAATCACTGTCCTTCAATTTGATGGAAAAGGCATTTGCTTTCAAAATCATTTCAAACGCGGGAGACATTTCAGAGATCAACTCATGAGTGAAGCTCAAGATTGTTGTGCTTACCTTTCTTATGAGGTGGCTGAGGACTGTGTACATGTCTTGAATTTCATTGTACTATTGTCCCTGTGGCAGTTGGCAGCTCCCACAACCTCATGTTTCAGTTAAAACCCAGAGGAAGCTATCAAAAGTAGCTACTTCCCACAGGGAAGGCTCGTATGTGGAGTATGGAATGGCAGGTAGGAAAGCCAGGGAAGGTGGGAAAAAAGTATGGGAAGCTGCAGAGTAATAATGATAAGATAGGTGAGAGAAAGGAAGAATAAAACACAGTCCCCAGCAATCTCCCAATGTCATGTTATGCTCAAAAATAGAACCAAAAGGGCTCTGAGAATGAGGCAGAAAAATGGAAACCTCTTTCACAGAGAAATGAAAAGCATCATACAGCACTATCTTTTCATTTTTCCTCGAGCTGAACACAGTACTGTCTTCCCTTGTACCTATTACTCTAATGCAGTGGAGGCATATGTATAAACTTATGTATATTGACTCCTCAAAAATATTTGAAAGACCTGGGGAAAATGCTGAAACTAGAAGAGCAACAAATGCTGAGGAGATAATTGTCAAAACTTTTCTCCTTAGAAATAATTTACTACTACTCCCTCCTCCTCCTCCTCCTCTTCTAGAAATATAAGCTCACTGTGACAAACCCAGACCTACTGGGATATGTCACACAGTTACACTAAGCTGCCACCAACCATTCCCCGTAAGAAGTCACACAGACCAGGGATGGATTTTCAAACAATAAAAGGAATAAGGTTTATTTAAATACACACAGGGAAAAATAAAACGATCAGGTGAATAAGATAAAGTAACGTGGCTTATTCTCACTCATACATACACACAGTTTGGTTCACACAGAACCCTTAACTTGAAGCACAGACCCTGAACCTATCAGTTCTGGCTAACCAACAGACACCTGAACCTATCAGGTTGGTACACTGACACACAGTAGTACCCTGTCTGACACACAGACTCCCACAACAGCTTCTTCTTCCCAGCTGCTGCTTCGTCACATCCCAGTGTCTCTCAGCATCTCATAAACTCTCCACACACGCTCCACATATATATACAGTACAGCCCCTCCTCCTGATGTCCCGCCTTCCACTCTCCATAGGATGGAACTTTCCCTCCAAACCCATGACAGACAGGTAACATCAGTGCTGTCTGTAACACTTCCTGTGCATTAAATACCAAGTTATAAAGTTTACGAACCACAGAGTTCACCCATGCATGCCCTTTCTCTTTCCACTTGAGGGTAGTTGTTGCTTAGACTTCTTAAGACACAGGTGGGCACACAGAAGAGCCAGTGGGAGGAAAGCAGTCCAGGCCAGGTAATATGCTCAGAAAGACCCATTCAGGTGCTGCTGGACAGTTCCAAGGGCAGCCCCACGTAGAGGCCACTACAGTAGTCTAATCTCAAGATGTCCGCTTTAGGTAGAAATAAGCAGATCGGATCACAGACGTTATCTGAGATGTCATGGATAGCGATGGATCCAAAAGGATGTCCAAGCTGTGAACCTCATCCTTCACGGAAAGAGTGGCCTCCCCAAAAGATAGGGAAGCACCCAGACCATAGACACTAAGGGCCCCCACCCACCCGCAGGATATCCATCTTCGCCGGGTTCAGCCTCAAGTCTGTTGCCCTTCATCCATCCCAGCACCCCCTCCAGGCAGTGCTTAAGGGACGGGACAGCATCCACTGCAGGAGGGTGGAAGGAGAGATAGAGCTGAGCATCATCCACATACGGGTGACATAGACCTCCAGAACTCCTGATGACCTGACCCTCCGGCCTCATATAGATACACATGGCATTCTTGGTGTGTTTAGATGGCATCTTCCAGCATTCCCACCCCCCCTCCTCCCCAACCTCAAAATGTTACCTGGTCTCCCTCCTCTGGAAAGGTAATTCTGGTCCCTTGCTTCCACCCTGGTTGCACATCGATGGTGAGGATCTTGTCCTTGATGGTGGAGGCGTGGCCGTCCTCGTTCATCACCTGCAGGGGTTGAGAAAGCAGGCCTGCCAACTCCTCAGAGGAGGCAGCTGTAAGGGGAGAGGAGGATCCTCCTTCAGCAGAATTATGAAGAAGATCCTGGCCATAACAGGTAAGAAAGATCAGAAGGGATCCCTGAAGGGACAAAGGCCTTTGGATCTTTCTTAGTACATCAAACATGGTCACAGGTGCCCAAGCTCTGTCTGCTTGCTGTTTGTGCAGTAGTAGCATCTCCACATCCATTTTTCAGCTACCGTACAATTGCACTCATTTCACACGCTAGGAAGGTGATGCTCAAAATCCTGCAAGGTAGGCTTCAGCAGTATGTGGACCGAGAACTCCCAGAAGTACAAGC